ATTAGGATTTGACTGTAAATGGGGTTCAAAATACATAATCAGTTATTTTTTTAGTGGTTAGCTTGAATTGGCTAGAAAAAAAGACTGTCAAATTCTTTTTCCCTAAGCAAAACTGAAAAGTTGATACTTTTGGCTTAGGAGGAAATAGGCCAGTGAGGAAATGAGAATGAGAAATAAGCCCACTTAAACCTTGGGACATGGGAACCTGTGAAAAACAGGTCCAGGCCTGAGCACACAAAAGTCAGTCTGAAGCTGTTAAATCTATTTAGATGATTCCCAAGCCACCAGCTCTCTAGAAAGAAGGGCATAACTCAGTTAAAAACTCAGACTACTGCGGTCAAGTCAGTTCCAACTCATAGCAACCTTATAGGACAGAGTAGAACTGCCCCATAGAGTTTCTAAGGCTGTAAATCTTTACTGAAACAGACTGCCACATCTTTCTTTCACAGAGCAGCTGGTGGTTCAAACTGCCGACCTTTTGGTCAACAGCTGAGTGCTTAACCACTGCAACACTACTATGTTAGGAACTAGAAATAACATGATACCCACCAATGATCAGTCACAGCTGCCATGAAAATATCTAGAGCTGAGTTGTTCAATATGGTTGTTTCTAGCCATAAGAGGCTATTTAAATTAACTAAAATTTAAAATTAAGTTCCTCAGTCAAAAACTACATTTCATGATCAGCACAGTTATAGGAGTTTCCCATCGTTACAGAAAAGTCTATTGGAATAGCACTGGCAGATAGACCCTAAGGACTTTATATTGAGAAATGGGTAGAAAAAATTATTTGGTGCCACTTGTTTCCCTGTTTACAACTAAATTAAAGACCTCTTTTCATTTTATAAATGATCCCCTATAAAATGTCTGATTCACTGAAAATATTTGTTTCGGTAGAATTCCTGGAACCCAAAAGGAAAAGGAATGGGGGATGCTGGTGTGCAAGAAAACTGAAGTTCATTTGGAAGCTTTGCTGAAATGATTTGAGAGAAAGGGTGTCAACACCACCAGTGCTAGTAAGGAGCCCCCATCTCAAAAGAGTACCCAGAGAGTGCCAAGTTAGTCTTACTGCCTTCCCCAAGATGCTAGACAGATAACAGGCGAAGAGCTCGATTAGCAATGTCAGCTTCAGTATATGTTCATTTTTGTTAACATTTAGCAGAATGGCAAGAGCTCCAAACTAACTTTCAAAAGAAGGCAGTGGGGAGGAGATGCTCAAGTTTTGGCTTTCCTGAAGGGGTATGATGACAGGTGATAATCAGCCTCCAGTAGTTCTCATTTGTCTAAAGGACTAGACCTATTGTCCTTCATACCTGGAGAGACAACAACCATCAGCTCACTCAGTGGTGTCTGTCCCTCTTTGGAGGAGACTGGCGTCTACAGTGTAGAATTCCACTGGACTCAAAAGGTTGTCTTGATAAGATTAGCAAAGCTTTCTTTCAGCATATTTAAATCAGAGTGAAAAATTAATAAAATGTTATTTCCCTACTTTAGTTAATCATGTTAAACTGTAAAAGCCGGCTGTGTTAAAAATTAAAATGACATCAAATAAGATACAAAAATTGACCAATGTTTTCATTTTCCCATTTTTATACACTTGGTTATATTTAACTGTAAAATAAAATGCCACATGTAACATAATCTTACTATGGCATGACTAATGTGCAGCTTACACCACACACAACTCACCATGGAAGTTTTGACAACACAGACACCTTGTATCTTGTTCAAGTACATGCTCAACTGTACCTTTCATCTCAAACACAAATGTAGCTGCTCCATTTGTCAGTATTTCCCAGCTGGTAGAAATGAAGAAGAGGAAGTAGGATACAAGAGATTATAAAGCAAAAATACTACATGAAATTCCAAATTAATTTTTAAACAGAGTAGAAATAATTTCTTGGCAAAATACATTTTTGCAAGTTAAGTCCTTCGTTGTTTACTTTATTTGTGCCAGTATTATAAATAGATATTTTCCCCATTTTTATTTTGAAGTACATAAGGCTAATGTACAAGTCCCTGGGAGGTGCAAATAGTTTGCACTCATCTACTAACCTAAAAGCAGTTTAAACCTATGCAGTAGTGCCATAGAAGAAAGGCCTGGCAATCTTCCATAAAGAGTACAGCCAAGAAAACCATATGAAGCAGTTCTACTCTAATACATGTGGTCTGCATGAGTCCAAATCAACTTAACAGCAATGGGTTTTACTGCTTTTTCCCTCAGAGCCTGCCTTCCCTTGTGGAGCAGGCAAAGCCATGGCCAAAGACCCCTTGAATTTGGGAGACATTCCAACCGCAACAGCTTCAGAGGTTCCCCCAAGCAGATGTGCAGTTTTCAGATTCTTGCTGAGTTTTGTTATAGGAAATCATCAGCAGCAGCCATGACTAATACTTTTATGAATATACACATAGGTGAAAGTAGTCACTAAGGCATTCAGATTTTTAAAAAATGCGTTGACTAAAAGAATATTGAATGACCAAAATGAGTAGTGAACATTCAGCTAAACTTATTTACTAAGAAGGCCTGAGAAGAGCTCAACGACAGGAATACCTGTCTTTGTGCGTGTCAGAAAAGCATGGTCAGCATAAAGCACAGCCTTGAAATATTTTAAAAATAACAATAAAAAAACAACCAACTACTTGACCATGGGAAGTAGCCTAGCTGATAAAAGAGTTTGTATTTATGAGTCTCTGCAATGATCGGTTAAAGCATCCAGGCATTCATTAGATTAATCCTTTTGTTCAAAGAAGACACAAACACAGGAGAACTGTCCCTAATCCTTTGAGCCACAGGGACATAAGAGGTCCAGTGAGGCTTTTCCACAAAAAATTGAGCAGTCATGTCCACATCCCAAACCGATGGAATTTCAAACCCTTAGAGGAAGCTATGGGACTTGTCCAGCCCAGGGACCCTTCAGTTTCTGGAGCACAGGAGCAAACATCACCTGCACCCTAGTCTAGCCATAGAATGTTTCTTTGGGAACAGTGCATTATCACACCTTCCTGATATGTCCTGCAGGCAGAGGCTTTCTCTGCCTCAGTATGATTTCTGCTGCAGCTCACCTGCAACCAAGAGGAAAGTAGCCTCCTGACCAAGAGGGAAACTGCTCCTAAAGAAGTTGAGCACAGATGCCCAGCTTCCCTTCATTTCCTATAGGACCAAGAGAGAAGAAACCTACTTTCTCTAATAACCTAACTGGCTATTTCTAAAATTAATGAAGTTTAGTCAACTCTGCCATTCTCTCACTTTGGCTTGGATGGGTGGGGAGAAGTTTACAGCGTCAATGTAAGATTTTGCTGTAATGAGAATTCCTTTATGCCAGAAAACAACGTGCTGTAATTGAAAAGTTTCCCATATTCATCAAATTTGTCCTGTTTCTTCCCTATACAAGCATGCTGATCTTGAATAAGTTTAAAGTTTTGAAGGAACTTGTTAACTTTTATGATCATTACAGAGCATCACTGTTGTTGAATGAAGTCTAGTAAGAAGAGCAAGTCTGTAAGTCCAAAAATTCAATACCATTATGATGATCATATCTACTAACTTCACAGGGCAGTAGGGATGAATAGGTGGGATACATGCCAACCTGCCTCTGTGTCTGGCACACAGAAGGGGCATCAAAGTGACTTCCCTTCCTCTTCACCATTTCCACTTAACTAGGTCTCTTCCTCAACCTCCTGGGCAAGCACTACTGGCAGCCTTCCTATTCCCAGCTCTCGGTAGATCCAGGACCCATACCTCTTCCCAGTACTTCAGCTGAGAGATCACCTCAGGTTTGGTGAACTGAAATCCTACTCATGGGGAAGTAAATGGGATGTGAGGGTTAGTGAGTTACAGAGCGATGTCCTGGAGCTCAGTCTCAATCCCTTTGGTCTACAGTGGTAAGCAGAGAGGGAAGTAGGATGGTGTTTAAAAGGGCTAGTGAGAATGGAAATTGACACAATCCCAGCTGGTAGAAATGAAGAAGAGGAAGTAGGGTACAAGAGATTATAAAGCAAAAATACTACATGAAATT